CAAAGTCTGAGTCGCCTTGTCCTTGCAAGCAGCGGGCCAGTATCCCAGCGCGCTGGCAAGGTCCTCTCCTCACCACACTGCAACCGCGCATGCACTGTGATGTCGGTGATGTCTCCGGGCAGGGCAGTCAATGATTTGCAAGGCATCCCCGGCTCTGTTCCATACTTCGCGTGTCTTAATTTGAGAAAGAAAAATGATAGAATCGGTGCGAGAAGTATGGCCTCCAGTATTGGCATAGACATAGAACGTGGGACTACAAGGAAAAAAGTGTTGCTAAAGCAAAGAAAGCGCCGCTCCGCAAACCTGCGCAGCAACGTGCCATTCTGGTTCTCTGGCGCTGCATTGGCTCTGCCGATGCTTGGTGTCCGCTGGGCGTGTACACATGCTGGGCCCTCGGTACTTTGTTCAGGCCCAGTTGGGCGTTACCATCCAAAAACACCAATGGCACACACCGGTGCCCTTGCGCAGGAACCACTTCACACATCCAGCGACAAATCTTTTTCAGAAGCACGTGTTTTGGCGCCGTTGGGCGGCAAGTATGCCACAGCGCGCAAAATGTCCAACTGTGGTGTTTTGAAGGCTTGGGTGAGGCTGGAAATTGAATGTTGCCAGGGTGGAAATTTGAATTTCAGCCTCTTGGGGGTCTGGGTGGGGATATGGCCACAGAAGGCTGAAATACAAAGTTCAACCTCTGCCCCCGAGACACACCTGCACAGCGCAGCTTCTCTTGGCAGACGAAATTTGGATTTCAAACCATTCTTTTCCCAACGGAGCCAAAGTCGGATCAGCTCTGTTCCATCTTGACTGTCCTCTGCGGCGTTCTCTTAAGGCTTTAAAAGTATCTTCCATCTGCCTCAAATGGTTGCAGACTGCTTGGCGCAAATCATCGTGATCGAGACAAACTCCAGCGCTGAAGGAAATGGCAACGAACATGCAGTGTCCAGCCGCTGAAGGCCGAGATCCTGCAGCCGGCTCGATACCTTGCGACGAGCCTCTTCCATTTGGATCAGTGTTTCGCGCGATTCCGCCAATGACTGTTCGCATGCCATGTGCAACATGGTCTGTCCCCACTTCTCCTCAGGGGACGCGGTAAACATGCGCAGTGCTCTAAGAAGGAAGGACAGCAGTAGTCTAGGAAAAAACGTTTCTACCCATGTTGGTAACAGGGGTTCAAGCAACAAGCCGAGCGACAGCTGCATCTTCCACGAGGTCGCGCCATTCCGACAGGATCTTGTCATTTTTGTCCTTGGCAGACCATTCCAAATAGTGTTGGCGACAAAAGTTACCTTCCACCCGTTCGCGCTTACACCGTCCACCTCTGCTCAAAGGGGCTAGACAGCGCTCTGCTTCATCAGCAGCTAAACAATGAAGATGGGCTGGCTTGGACGACTCGGCAGCTGATCCAGGCAGAAAAGCGCAGGATCTTTTGCGCGAACCATGCCATCCTTTGGCTGCGGGGGTTTCAACATGGCCTGCGTTCGGGCAGAACGCTTGGCCTTGGCTTTCGGCTTCTTGGGCTGCGGTTGGGGAGACAAGGGCCCCTTGGCCAAGGGCTTCAAAAATCCGTGGGCGTCCTGCGCAGGCACTGGGAAAGACAAAACAATTAAAAGACGACAGCCACTTGTCTTTATCAACAATCAACAACATATCATTAGTAAACCTTCTAGATGAACATGTTTTTACAAAAACACAACTTCCTTTCACCCAAAGCACCATGAGCTGTGACAGAAAGAGCGTATGTTCAGATTGGCCTCCGCCAACGACGACGACATAGTTCCTGTGCGGGTCAACCCATTGCCCCGTGTCTGTCATATAGACTGTGGTGTACCTCTGACGCAACATTTTGGGTCTCAGGACGCTCCAAGGCTCGAAGAACCTCGTCCTTTGTGGACGCAAGAGATAACTTCACCATAACACGCATTTCCTCAGGCTTCTCAGAAGCATGACGCGAGGTGTACTTGGGAAGCACGTCAGCCACTCGTGCCTTGTCACCGTTCTGCAGGACAACATCGCACGCGCTCGCAAGGTATGTGCCTCGGGCCCCATGTTTGCGGAAATGCTCCAAGAGATCCGTTCGGTCAAGCCGCCGAACCTTCTGCGAGTCTCCTGACTGGTCGGCAGCTGTAGACAACCTCTTGCGGCGGCACAAGGTCAGCTCTGACCAGGGCTGTGTGATCGATGAAGACAAAGATGCATAGTCTCCCTTTTCAAGTCTGGTAGCCAAGCCTTCGCAAACATCTTTCATCAACTCGCCGTGCCACGAACAGCATAGCCAGGATCGAGGAAGGACTTCGCAACTCTGTGGCTACACTCAATGGCGTTCGGCGCGTAACTGGAAAAACCAAGTGGCACAGTGCCGAGCCCCGACCTCCACGGAGCAGAGAAACCAGTTTCGTTAACGGTCAATATATTTGCTTCCATGTAGGCCGCCATGAGCGGCTCATTGAAATTATCATGGACCACAAAGAGATGGTACAACCCTTACAGCGTCCCACAAACAGACTCCAAATCAACTTTCCAAGAAACGTGCTCAAGGCACCTGTGCAAACGCAAATCCAAACCGTTCTCTTGGCAAGCAGAAGCGACGGCGTGGTAGCACGAGCAATCTGCGAAGATATCTTCCACGGCGACCTCTAGATCATTGGCTTTTGCGAGCGCAAGATTCAGCAAAAGTTGCTGTGAGTCTGCGTCCTCAGAGCTGCTGAGTACAAAGTACCGAGGCAGGAATCTCATAAAGGACCTTTGGTGGCCGAAAATATCAATCCGCAAGGACCGACTCCTCCAAGGAGGAGGCCTTGCTTGTTCGTGGAAAACGTGAAGTCCAGCAAGCAGGTGGACAGGTTGCTCTCCACCCAAATCTTGTCCAGATCATCAGTCATCAATGTGAAAGGCACGACTATGCGGTCAGGTGGGCACACCACATGGTCCTTCAAAATCTGAACATCTGGGGCGGGCTATCCACAAAGTTCATGAGCTCACCTACACACTCCACTGAATAGCCCTCTAACCTGCGAGCAATCGATTGTTTGCGCCTTTGGTTCTTGATCTGGGCAATGGAAGGCCAAAGTGCGTCCGAGATCTGATCACGCTTCATGTACTTCAGCGCCCTATTTGGAGTGCCCTCTTTGGCAAACTGCTTGGCGTAGTGCCTCTTCAACCGTGAAGCATTTTTTCGCCCCTCACATTTGCCTGACTCTTCTACACGGAGAGACCCTTGATCCGTCCAAAGCACCATTGATGTGAGCACGATTCACATTCATAGCATCTGGCAATCAAAACTACCAACTTCTCAAAGGACGAGTTGGTCCAGGTTTTGTGTAAAATGTTTTTCTCTTTCAACCAAGTTTGGGCAGCCACACGCAATTTTGGACGCAATGTTTGGCCAGAAGGGACGTCTTGGACGGCAATCTGTCGCCATTGCTTTCGCCGGCGTGAGCCCTCTGCTGCTTCTACTATTTGGTCCGACATCTCCACAAACAAGGCCGAACTTTAAATTTCAATCCACATGCCAAAATAAGATCACCTTCAAATATCGGCCCATTACAAGCTGTCCATCTCCACTACCCAGTTGAAAATTGAATTTCACCTTGTATTGCTGTTGCAAGCTCAAATTTGAATGACAACTGTGCAAGCACGAAAAGGAGCGAAAATTCGAATGTCAACCACAAGATTATCTATCTGATGCCCAGAAGTTGGAAATTCAAATTTCAATTGAGTATGACGTAGTCATCAACTAGCAAGTGGAAAAGCTGAAATTTGAATTTCCACCTTTTGGACATTTGATTTCTAGCCTTATTTGTGTTTTGAACCTAGCTGCACCCACTCGTCCTTGCAGCCCCCCCTCACCACTCCAGTGTCCCTGGAAGTGCTTCGGGCTGATGTACCTGCGACGCACCCACAGTTCCAGACCTGTGGACAGCTCACCTTTGCTCCACTGCAGCCGGGCGAAGGGGCCAAGCCGAGTCTTTCCCACCAAGCCAACAATGTGGCAAGCCCGGAATTGTTCCAAACAATCTTGGTCTCTATCGGCCTGTACCATTGACAGGGATTGTAAACACAACATCGAATACCACACATATGGTGTGAAAACACGGCAGTGGCGGTGATTGTCTGCACAAAGGCATGGGACCATCAACGGCCGGTCAATAACTGCAATGGTTCGGTAGGGCGCCGGGGCATGCTTGATACCTGAAGCGCCTAATGCAAAACCAAAGGACAATCACAAGACATTAATACAACATGGAATTAGCATCAAAGGACGTTAATGCGAAATGATGGGAACATGAAGGGGAAGGAGTGCAACATGAAAGGAACATGTAAGAAAATTACTACAACATGAAAGGACATGTCTACAGGAAAAGAGCCTTCAGCATGCAATGTTACATTTTAAGGAATTGGCAGCAAAATATGACAAATTGCGAGCACTGAAGAGGATACCCAAATGACCGGTTTGAACATATCACCCTTTGAAGGAAATGGAAAGGAAAGGAAAGGAAAGCAACATGAAAGGAACATGCAAAAAAAGCAAAATGAAAACAACATGAAAGGAACATGAAAGCAATGCATGCACAATTAAAGGAACATGAAATGAAATGAATGCAAAGTGAAAAGACAATAAAAGGAACATGCATGCAACATGCAAAAGGACAATGACAGGAAAGGAATGCAACATGAAAGGACAATGAAAGGAAATGACCGCAACATGACAGGAAAACGAAAGGAACTTAATGCAACATGAAAGGAAAATGATAAGAAAAGTCAGCTAGACGAAGTGTCAAACTTCCTAAGTTACATTTGTTGACCCCCCGCACTCATCAAACACGAAAGAAACAAAATGTAACTTGGAATGTCCCCACGTGTGAAGTTACATTTTCCTGTATTTTAGCCTACCCCCCCCCCACCGGGGTATGCCCACAAATACGTGGGAACGGGGTCAAGTGGAATCTAGAATGCACCGGACTCTGCGCACAATTGATTGCTGGACGCACCAAGGTGCAGTCCTCGGGAGACATACAAGTAGCAAGCGTTTTGCGCGCTCTACGCAGCAGTCAAAGGCATCTGCTATGGCTTTGGCAACCTGCAGGCTTGCAAAATAGGTCCTTAGAGCAACTATGCTTGGGCCACTTGGACATTTTGGATAAAGAAATGCAATTACGATCTCCATGACATCAATCAATTACGCGTCGTCCTGACTCCAATTACTTATCTGACATGGTCAAGTTGAAACGAAAAGACAACTTGCAGGCATCATCTAACACATGCGTGTATGCTACACGTGCGCTGCGGGCAATCAACTGCGTGTTCGATTGACGCACCGTAATGCACATTGCGATCGTTGCAATTGGAAGTGCCCATGTCCATAAGAAACATCTTTTATTCTCATTGTCAATCTTTGTGTTTCTGCAATTACATGTGTTTACGTTGTTGTAACTATAACTGAGGTGTAAGCCTAATACCTTGGGAGAAAAAACAACAGCCACTTGCAAATACTCACTCGACTTTGGTATGAACCAGCGGCAGGTACAATGGTACAAGCTGAGCAGCACGACACTGCATCCACATGAACAAATTGTAGAACAGCACATCCGCAAAGGAAATCACGGGCATCTTAATCTTGAATAATCGTGAAGCATCTAGTGCGGCAAAAGCTTTGCTATTCCTCGCCGGACATTCAAGCGTCTCAATCCATCCCAAACCTGATTCAATTGCCAGAAGACTAAAGAACTAAAGAAGCAAACATGTTCGCTCTATTTGAACATCATGCAGCAGCATCTACAGCAACCACAAAAAAGCAACTGTTCAACAAAGTTTCACTCCTAAGCAACGTGACAAAGGAAACACGCCTCTCACTGCTCTCACCACTGAGTGACATTGCAAACAAGTTGACTAGTGCAAAAGGAATGCAGTTCCAGTTCGCAAAGCATATGCCAGAACACTGAAGGCAGGCACGATGGCAAGGGCCACCGAACAAAGAAGGAGAACTGTCGCGTATGAGGAAACCGAAGTAAAGGCGTGAACATAAAACAACAAATGAACACGCATTGACACAACAATCCGTCAAATTCCGTAAACTTTTGTGTGGGAACATCGCGATGCAAATGTAAATTTTGTCACACATCAAAGCGAACAGTTCACACAAGGAAACAAAAAACATAATGACAGCTGAACATGTTGACGCTACGACATGCCTTCTGTACATTGACATTATTCACTCTAACATGGTGTAGTTCAATAGAATCCATTTTGACAATGTTTTGATAGCAGCGCATTTGTGCTGTTTTGGCCTTGACACATGTTTCTGCGGCTCGTCAGTAGTCTATCCCTCATTTGAGAACAACACTTACGAAGCAAACATATCATGAGGTAAGAGAATCTTCCCGCCCAAACTTGAAACTGCATAATTCTGTCTGCGGTGGGACGAAACGATCATGTTGATTGATGTTGATGTCTTGTTGTTCGGGTGTTGAATCACCATGGCCAAAACTAACGGCGCAATGTGCCTCATGCTCTCAACATGTCAACTTCCACATCATGCCTCAAGACACTTGCAGTATGCCTGTTCACGCTCGGACTACGAAAAAACGGTTCTATCTACATGTTGCGGGGATAACAAAGTTCAGTATATCAAGACTCAGGTCCTGCAAGGCCACACGTCTTCCAAACGCCTAACTACAAGACCAAACGACTTAACCCCGGTACCCAGTATTTGTCAGTCAGTCACTCAGCCACTCACTCACTCCGTGAATCATACACAGTCGTTTCAAATTTATTGTGGAACTTATCTAGGCCCTTCAGGCTGACTGGACCTGTTTCAAAGAAATTCGTTTGGGGCGCCGGTCTGCAACCATCTCTGCTGCAAACCAAGAACACCCGATCAGCACTATTGTGGTCCTCTGCATCTTTTAAAATATCCTCATATACAGTGACAGCTTTCTGTCAAATTCTGCACCTGTTCGTACCAGCTAATAACAGCAAATACTACAATGAGTACACATACGTACGGCAAAAGGAATGACACTAAAACATCCAAAATGTATCAAAATGCCACAACAGTGTTAAAGTTCGTTAAAGTGCAACTAGAAAGCTAAATGCCAAAGAGATTGATACAAGTTCGAACATGGACCCATGTGTCGGACAGCTCGAAAAACATTGTCTTACAAATACTTTTCTATACGTTTCTGCTGAGTCACCTCCCCAGACCCGAGCAAGCCTCTGAGCCCGCATTGCAGAAGGGAGCCATGCCGCAAAGAACTCACACTCTGCGGTTCAGTCTTCTGCATACAAGGATTTCAAGAAGTAGACACTGACACTGCACTTAGACGGCCTTTCTGCTTGTGTATTTGCATCATGCAACGCTCAAGCTGCTCACAGCTCTCCCTTCGCTTTCAGCATGGCCTGAGGCAGTGGAACAGTCTGTGTCGGACCACTCAAGATCTCAAACTGGCTGAACCACTCTCTGGTGTGGAGCCTTTCCGCTTGAAGGTCGCTGAACGCCATCTGAACAATTATCAAATGAACGCTTGTGGGGACATTTGACATCCTGAGACAACCGCACCCGGTCTGTGATGCGAAGCCGGTCTATGTTCTGCAAATGCTTGGACAAAAGACCTCAAGGTCACAAAAATTCACAAAATATTGTGGAGTGCCTAACACTCACATTGCAGGACCTTTCTACATTGACTTGCTTCCTTTCAGCAGCATTTCCAAGCCGGGTTCCGTGCATAGAAGGCACCTGGCACGTAAATCACTGTACTGCCAAATTCACCAAACATCTTGCCGCCTCTGAGGATTCCAAAGATCCATCAATGGCGGCTGCCAAAGATCCACCGCCACTTAGTTGAGGGATGTCATTTTCGGGCCTTTGCACAGTTTTTCGCACTCAAATTGAACTGCTTCACTACACTACTATTCACCGTTTCACATGTATGGACTAACAAAGGATTTGACACTGAGGCCAATGCCCTCGATGGTGTAGCTTGGCTGTTGCCTTTGATTCATGTGGCCCAACTGTTCCCAAACGGTTCCATCAAAACACAACAACTTTGAAGCAAACACATGCAAACAAGCACACGATGCCTGGAGGAGGTTCAATGAATTCCCTTCATTTGCATGGTCTGGCGCATTCCAGTTTCAAAGTTTCTGGCATTTCATGCACTCCAGTTGTTTCGCTGGGGCGTCCTTCCAACCTTGCCTCAAACCGCAACGTCAACTGAAGGCCAAACCGGCCAGAACGTCAAAATTCCAAGCCTTCAGCAGTGAGGTCACCCAACAACGCATCTTCCAGGAAGGTGTCGAAGGTGTCCAACGGCTGCCAACGACTCTCATCACACTGCGCCCCGAATCTGCTTGAACTTTGAAGACAATCAAATTGAACATTTCTTCACGTGTCATCAACTGTCACTGAAACCTCAAACATCTGCAGTGTGCACTGTTGTGACCTACGGAAGTCATCAATCCTACCTCAAGACCTGAAGTTCTCTCTCTCTCTCTCTCTCTCTCTCTTGTGAAACCTTTGGAACCGCAAAGTGCCTTTTTGCATGTCCTTTATCATCTGTTGTCTAGCCGAGTCTAGCCGCAGTGGAGTGATAATTGTGGGACTGCACTAAACGAAACTGCTACAATCAAGGGGTACCAATTCTGATCAACTCGGCGTACCTGCGGCGAAGTTGCGAATGTTTTAGCCTTTCTCCAATCAAAGTGGCCAGGCTGTTGCACATGATTCGGGTCAGAAAACATGCATTTCGATCCGACCGCTGTTGTTGGAACTTTGAACTTGGGCCTTTTTGTTGGAGCCTCAATATGGTGACTTGGAACTTGGACGGGTTTGAGACCACAATCCATGGTTGAACACCTTTGCACTCACTCACCAAATGCCCTTTCACTTGCGCGCTTGGTCTGTAGCGCACTCACATGTACTAACTTGTATCTCGAATGTGTGTGTGTGTGTGCACCCCTTGGAATCAAAGGGATCCTTTAGGATTGCTTTGACTCTTTTAACTGCAGGGGAGTGCGGCGTGATTGTGGGACCGCACTCAACGAAGCTACCGTAATCACAGGATAATGCGTCGGCAGTCATGTACGGTACGTCGTCATCCCGTCGGCTCGTCGTTTCGTGGCCTTTAACTAAAGGCACGCAGTCCCCCTCAGCTGGTTTTTTCAGGATTTGGTTTCTTCGGCTGGCGTGTGGCGCCACTGTCCAGTCAGTATGCATAATCATAAGTGTGTCTCTCCTAGTGAGAGCCCAGGGTGACCCGTCGAACGGGTGTTTGTCGAACGTATCCTACGGGATACAGAGCAGCTCGCAGCGAGCGTAGGTGGCCTAGGCCGAGAGTACTCAGATTTGTCGATTTCTTGAATTCCAAGCTGGCTCATGCCTTTACGTGACCGCAGTGCTCAAAGCAGCCAGCCACTTTACCAGGCCACCAGGTGACCACAACAGCGATCAGAGTATTTTTGAAGTTCATTGGAACCTGTCGGGACCTTAAGTACACACAGCGCGTACGTACATGTTCAACGAGGCTTGCCTAGGTTCTTTAATGAGGTTTGGGTTCATTGGTTTTCGTCCCCTCCATTTGGTTCCCTTTTCATCCTTTTCCCCTTCAAACACACATCTGTTCTCCTCTTCTCTTTCATGTCCTCCTGTCTTCATGTCTTTCATCTCATCTTTTCTTTCGTTTGCGCGCGGATTGGTCCCGGCCTTAGCGTGTACGCGCGCAACTACATGTACTTTAAGCCCAGGCTTTAGGTGGCCCAGGTCTTTATAATGAGGCGGGTTTCATTGTTTTTCCCTGTGCACTTGGTTCCCCTTTCATCACAACCACATACACCTTTGTCCCGCCCCGTCCTCTTGTCATGTCTTCATTCTTTTGTCTCTTGCGCGCGCGCGCGCATTTGCCTTTACCTTAGTTTTACGACTCCCCTCGGGGAGGCGCGTGTGTGTACCCTTGGAGGGATCCTGTAGGATTGTTTTGACTCCTTTAATTGCAGGGGAGTGCGGCGTGATTGTGGGACCGCACTCAACGAAGCTACCGCAATCACGGGATACCGAGTCGGCGTACCTGCAAGTTTTCAACCTTTGGTAAAGTGCTACTGCGTCGGCAGTCATGCACGGTACGTCGTCACCCCGTCGGCTCGTCGTTTCGTGGCCTTTAACTAAAGGCACGCAGTCCCCCTCACCTGGTTTTTCAGGATTTGGTTTCTTAGGCTGGCGTGTGGCACCGCTGTCCAGTCAGTGCGCATAATCATAAATGTGTGTTACACCTAATTACTGTAAAACACAAGGAGTCTGCGTACCACGTCATCTCTTCGTCACACTTGCTTGCAACAAAGGTCAAGAAAAGTACAGGATCCTTGGATGAAAGGCCTCGTCCCATGCCCAGCAAATTGCCCCGCACAGGAGCAATATCTTAAGTTCCTAGAGCAAATGCATCACCTTCGTGTCAGAATTGTGAACTTTAACCGCAATCACGTATTGTCTTACAGAAAGCCAGCCTTGACTAGCATGAAAACAGTTCTGTCACCTGAAAACAACACTCAATCCAAACACTTGAAACTAGTGCTGGGCTCGAAACGCCAGGTTTCGGGCATGTGGGAGAGGTTTCCCAATAGCTGTCACATGAGCCAGCTCCAGCAGTGTGAACTTCCACTTAGTTGGCTACACCATGACCATTTTTAGCAACTTGATGCCACCAGTGCAAAAACGGAGAAGGCTTCAAAATGTTCAGCATTTTCGCCCGTTGTCGCTAGCTTGATATCCGCCGCCCAAGGACATAGAAACTGTAAGGCGTAGCCCCTCCAGACCTCATGTCCACGCAACAAGTGTGGTTTATGCCCCCACTAAACCGTGGCCACCAAGCGCTGGGCTTTTCCGGCACCGGAATGTGAATCTCCTCACAGCACAAGAGGGGGTTAGGCGAGTGCTCCACACAAGTGGAGTTTTTAACATTGATTTTCAAACGTGGTTGCGCTTTTAGCCAAGCAGGTTTTTGCGCAATATTTACGGGTGGCATCCAAGGGATTTCGTTCTTTCTCGTTGTGTTTCACCAGGTCATCTCTTGCAAAGGCTGGGGGGCGGACGTTTCCAACAAAATCATCTGCAACACGTTGCGCGCAGTGGGACGTGACGAGTGATGCCTTTCAACGTGGTGCAAAAACCGTGCGCGGGGATCTGATGTGGTGTGTGGCAAAATGCCTTGCGACGCTACGTGTTAATGTGATTCTCTTGTCACAAACCCTGTTGCCAAAACCATATATATTTTTGACTCCGCAAACCGCTGCAAACTTTACTTCATTGTACCTTCCTGTCGGTTTGCAACAATACAATAAGCTCGCTCTTGTGTTCTTTTTCGTAGGAGCCTTTCTCTCATGCGCTCCGCTTTGGCGCTTTTGTCCTTCAAACTGTTCCTTACATTGCGCCATTTCCCTGCACTCCCCACACTTCTGAACGTTTGTGTAGAAAACGCCTGCTTTTCTGTAGACCGATTGAAGCTCTCTCGCTCTTATCACTACCCTCTGGATCCCTCCGGAAATATCTACTGTATGATGTGTTTCTCTAGAAGTATCAGTATGAGCCTGCAACAATGGGCCTGCGCGGGCTCTCTTGAGAATCACAGGGCTGAAATCAGAAGCAGTGGATGACGAGCTTGTGGACGAAGAGGATGAAGCGTGGTGTCCCTTGCTGGCACTGATGCCTTTTCTTTTCGCCGCTGTCTTCTAGCAATGAATGCTTGCTTCTTGCGTTCCATCTCTTCAGCGGTTGGGGGGCGCGGTGGCGCATGCGACTGGTGCTTGGCAAAAGCTTTTCCTGAGCAGCTTGTCGTAGGGTGGAGTCAAAGTGCTCCAATTTTCCTTTTGAAGCACTGTCCTGCGGATCCTTTCCTCTGGCGCGGCCTGCGACAGGTCGGCCTGGCTTAGCTTCTTGCGCGCGAGCAATGAGAGGTGGCCCTAGATCAGGGTGCCGAAGGAGTTCCTGCGTGTACTTGTTCACAGCTCGCTTGTCAGCAACGGACAAAGGCATTGCAATGTTGAGTGGGTGCGTGAAATTTGGTGTACCTATCTCTAGCTTAATTTTTATCAGCCTTCTGTTTGCTGGGATGTATAACGCTAACGTTTAAGTTCTCAAAAGAAAGGCTAGATCAATGTCTTCGATAGGGAATTTAATTAGCTGTCTTGTCAGCAGGACCTGGGCAAGTGGCTATGAAAGCTGAAAGCATATCCAATAAGGGCTGGCAATTGTTTAAAGGATTTTTTTTTCGCGTTCTTTTTGGGAATTTGTTTCTGGTAGCGCTTTCACATAGTGGTTCCGTGGCAGGCAAAGCATTTGAGTACCTTCAGTTGCTCATTTTGTGGCAGGCGGAGCATTTCGTGAACCTCGATGTCCAGATTTCGTAGCAGGCGCAGCATTTTGTGAACCTTCAAGCGCAGACCTCGTGGCAGGCGCAGCACTTTGTGGGAGGTGGCAGGCGCAGCACTTTGTGAACCTGCAGCACTTCTTTGAACCTCAAAGTGCAGATTACACTTCAGAACTCACGCGTGAAAGAATGAAGCAATGCGAAGGTCACAGCTGGAAGCTAGGGGCAAGGACAAAGCGTGCCTTTTTTCGCGTCGGCTGGTTCACATCACTTTGGATAGGTGGTTTGAAGCGCAGCTATCCTCTCGGCAGCGGGTAAGGGATCAAGAAAACAAATTATAGGGCCGGATAACCCCACATGGGAACAACTTCGAAAGATTGAAGCTGCAAACATAAGGTGCTGAAGAGTGAGCATGGGGAAGAGACAGGCGAGACAAATAGAATGCGTAAGGGTCGGTGTGTGTAGGTGAGGTGTGTGTTTGATTGTATGCGCTTGTCCGTGGGTGTGTATGAGTGTGTGGGTAGACTTGCTTCTGTTTAGTGGTTGCCCTGGTTGCCCCTGATAATTTTTTTTGAATGTGACGCCCTGTCAATCAGATGTGCTGCCCTTTGGATTTTGCGGCAATGTCAAGTCCACACTCATTTTCCATGTATCAGGCCGCGCAGTGCTGCCCTTTGGAGTTACAATGTCAAGTCCATATAATGTGTGAGGCCTAACATGTCAATAATTTGCCGTGAAATTTTCCTGACATATAATAATAAGCTCATTAAACTAGATCTGGCTGGCAAATAGATAATAGGTTGGTGCGAAATCAAATATGTGTTATAGTTATCTTTTTCTGTTTTCTGATTATGTTTTCTGGCTCCGTTTTAAGGTTTGCGCAATTGTATTTGAAGACCTATGTCTGTGTTTAAAGATATTTTTGCAGACGTGTTTGCATAGTCCCCGGCCCGGTTCGGTTCAAGCATGTCACAGTAGTAAATCCACTGATGCAGGTACACACGACGCGATGTTTCTTTTGTTACTGGTCACTTGTCAGTTCATGTTTTCCACATGCGAGGGTTGAATTAAGTTAGTTGCATTGTTTCCACTGTAGTGGGCAATGGGGGCGGCAACAGCAAGACGTCAGATGCACGAGGCGCCATCACGTTTTTCTTTGTCAATCGTCTCCAGTGTGCCATCGTCGTCTGTCAATTGAAAATCCTCAGCCATTAGACATTCATCCATCATCGAACTTCAACATGGCCCTGACAGGCGGAGAGACGGGAACATCAGGACAAAGACACTTGGTTGATTTAATTACTGGGAATGACGCAGTAGTCCGGACAGACCTTCAGACGGAGAAGCCGAAACCATTTGACCGCTGCATTTTTTAGATCAACCTGACAGACTCACTGACCGCGACCGCAGCCTGTCCGCCATGGCAATGATGATGCCGTGCCAAGAAGTGTACCGCAAAGTCTGGCCAAGCACGTTCCGTGGCTACAGGCTGGGTCGGGTGCGAACTGAGTGACCATGACAGAATCAAACCTTTACATTGTTACGTTTTTGATCAATCATTTTTCAAACTTCGTTTGATTGTTTCGTGTTCGTGACAGGCTGACGGAACTCAAGTGGGTCATGGGAGAAGTGACAGAGGTCTGGACAAGAGACTCCGTTACTTGGCTGTGAATGCAATCAAAAGAAAACATATTTTTGGTCGTGACAGTTGGACTTGTCCTGAGGCGGCACGCATCATGGATTTCACCAACGATGAGCCGCCCATCCAGAATGACAAGGGCACAGGTGCCAGGAAAGACAAAAGAAAGGCCGCCAATACGAAGGGCACCAAGACGACCAAGGGAAAGGGCGGCAAAGGCGCGAAGACTAAGACTACCAAAGCTGACAAGACTAAGAAGCCTAAGACCAAATGAGCAGAATACAGTCAGTGGCTTTTGAACTTTTGACAAGCAGTCAGTGTCACCAGAATGTTGAAAAAAAGACTTTGCTGCTTGCCGCTGTCGGTCATTACAGCCACGATAGCTGATGGGCATAATAAACTTAAACGCAATCAGTTTTATATTCGCCAGCGTCCGATGGGCTTAGCCGGGCTCGCTGTCAGTAACGTGCCAGGTTTTTGCCCGTCTAGGACGGGCTTAGCCGGGCTAGTCTAAATATGTCTAAATTATGTCTTTTTATACTAGGAGCCTGTAACCTTTCAAGATTGAGCCAGGTTTCGCCCGTCTATAACGGGCCTAACCGGGCTACTTAGTAAGTCTAATGAGTCTTAACTTAATTATAACATATTATAACTTGGGTTGAGCCACTGGTTCGTTTAGGAAGGTTAGGCCAGGTTTCGCCCATCTCGCACGGGCTTAGCCGGACTGCTGGCTGTGCTGCATGAGTCTTGGAACCAGGTTTCGCCCGTTTAGGATGGGCCTAGTTACTGGGCTAGTTACTGGTATTAGTTGTTAAGCCAGGTTTCGCCCATAGCCGGCCACTCGCCCAGCGAATCCTTCAGTTATTGATTGTTTATTTGATTAATATCATTCCGAAATGTTGCTAGACCTGATCCTGATTCTGTTCCTGGACAGCAGCCATGAAAGAATTTGAATGTTTGGGAGAAAATCACTTTGCTGTTGCGCTACGTGCCTGTCTTTAAGTCCGCGGTCGCCGTCAATGACGGGCGGGATGCCGGGCGCCGGGTGCCGGGCGCCGGGTGCCGGGATGCCTTGACTTCAATATGTCGTCTTGTCTGTCTTGACAAAACTATTAAACAGCGTTCACAGAAAGCGCATGGGACCTAGCGGTGATCGAGAGCGGCTCTGTAACTAAGGTAAAGAGTGGCATGTTTTCTGGTTGCTTCAAACTTGTTTGCCACACTCGCTGTGAACTTACTGCTCATGCTTGTGGTTTTTAGGGCTCAAGCACTGAAGCTTCTGCAACACAAGGCAGCTGAGTGACCGAGTGACCAGAAGATGTAAAAAAGAGAACTGTTGCAACTGTGAGACATTTGACAACTGGCAGTTGTCAGACTCAGAGGTGTGCAGCTTTCAGAAAACAATCTAGAGTCTAGAGTCTAGAGCATGGCTGATTCCCGTCGCGTGAAGTACTTGGACCATGACGTGCCCAGCAGTGGTGCTGCTCGGCGGAAGGCGCTGCAGAAGCTCTACGAGAAAACACGAATCTCGCAGCATAAAATGTGGTGCGTGATGCTAGTTTACAGGATGGAATTGCTGATGGAATCATGATAGAAAGCCTTCGGGCCACATGGGTCTTCAGCGGGGCATTTTTGCT